TTTTTTTGGCAGTACTGGGGCTTGAACTCAGGGCCTTTACCTTGAGCCACTCCACCAGCCTTTTTTATGTTAGGTATTTTCGAGATAGGATCTCACGGAATTAATTGCCTGGGGCTGGCTTCGAACCTTGATCCTCCTGATCTCTGCCTCCTGAGTAGCTAGGATTGTGGGCGTGAGCCACCGCCCAGCTCTGTGGGGTGTTCTTTGCTGCTGTTGTTGGTTTTGTGAGTGTATATTTGTTTTTTTGAGACAAGGTCTCGCTTTGTAGCCCAGGCTGGTCTCTAATCCATGATCCTCTTGCCTTAGCTTCCTGGGTGCTGGGATTATGGGCATGTACTGCCACACCTGGTAACATAATCTAATTTCTCTTTCATTAAGCCACTTAAATGCATGCTTATTCATTCATTCCTACATTCACTCCTTTACTAATAGCTCCTGCTGTTTGCCCCAAATTACTGTAGCAGTGGTGAGAAGAGTGGTACAGAAGTGAAGGTTTGTCCTTTGTCCATGTTTATGAAAAGTCTCACCAGCTCTTTTGATTGTGTGCCTTTGTCTAAGCCCTGACCCCCACGGGCTCCTGTCTGCAGAGCAAAGTCCAGACTTTACATTAGGTACTGAGTCAGCCTGCTTCAAACCCTTAGCTTCCTCTTCCTCCATGCGTCTTTTACTCTTGGTTGCAAGTGACCAAGATCCAATTCATACTGGTTTAGCCAAACTTTATCTTATGCATTGTGCAGTTCAGGGACGTTGCAGGTGTGGCTGGCTCCCCGGGGTGAAATTGATATGGGCAGGGTTCTCTGCCTCTCTGGCTTGGCCGTCTCTCAGGCAGGCTATTTCCTGCTGTGACCCTGGCAGTACCAGTTCACATTCCCCCAGCTGCAGCTCTACAGGAGAAGAGAGCTTCCCACGATTCTGCCAGGCTCAGGACTGAATTTCATTGGACTGTCTCGGGTCACGTGCTTGATCCTGACCCAACCTGAGGAAGAGGGCATGGATGCCGGTGGGGGAAACTGCCCAAGGGCTCTTTTCCTCTGAATTCCCCTTTCTTTCTGCTTGGCGCTTGCACCTGTGACCTTCTACCAGGAAGCACTTCTCTTTCCTCTCTGTGTCCTGAATCCCACCCTTCCCAGCTTGTGGGGAGACCTCTCCTTACCTCTCATCCTGACAGGGGCCTTCCCTCCATGACCCATGCCTCCCTTGTGACTTCTTGTCTTGTTCCTTCTGCTTACGCGTAAACTGTCTATCATGTAAGGAGTAGGGACAGAGCCCTGCAGGAGGAGCCAGCTGAGGTGTTGACAGGGAGCAAGCATTCAGATCTAGGGTCTAGCAAGTTCTCTGCCATCAGAGCAGAGTGGGTGTGAGCTGAGCTCTTGAAGAAGCAGGAGTGTGTCATATTCACTTCCTGGTGTGACCCACAGCCCTGCTGCTCACATGTGTGTGTGTTTAGCAAACTCTTGGTCCTCTGGAAGCCTTGGTTTCCTCCTCTGTAAAATGGGTACATGTCCATCGCCTGCCTCATGGGTGGCCTGGTGTGAAGAGGAAGCAGGTTTAGAACAAGTACCATAGGTGCGCAAAACTGTCACTTCATGGCCTCACCCCTCAAGAGGTCATGAAAGAGAGTGGTGGAAGAAAGAGTCCCTTGTTCCTGAGACCTGCTGCAGGTCTTGGCTCCTATACTGTGTTGAGTTTTTTTTGTGGGTCCAGGTAGGGAGTGTGCTGGTCAGAGGAGGAGAGGGGCCCCCCACATTTTGGGTCTTCCTCAGAACCTTGTGAAAAGCTAGGACCATTCCCATCACAGTCGCACAGCAAACCTTTGTGGTGTTTACCCTGTACTAGCCAGTCTGTGTGCAGAAGCTCATTTAATCTTCCAGTAATGTCAGGAGGTAGGCACTGTTGTTCCCCGTTTCAAGAATGAGACTTTGAGGCCCTAAGAGGGTAAATGACCTGTCGAGTGATACCCTAGTGATTGACAGGGCTGGGATTTGAATCCTGGGTAGATGAGTTCAGACCTGTCGTCTTAACTCCATATTTCTCATACCCAACACAGGCTGGGTAAAGGTTTTATTTCGATTTCAGCGCCGGTTTAGCTACAGCATTCAAACACAGCCAAGCAGTCACTGCGTTCTAGCTGGGTCTCCATCTGTGGGAGCAGCCCGAGTGTGTGTTGGGGGGGGAGGCAGGGGAGCAGGGAACTCAGCTGATTGCAGCGCATGGGCTTCAGCATTGCTTTTGAGCTGATATTTGCCACTTGCACCTTAAGGACGCAGCCCCTCTTAAGGACAGGGCCAGGCCTTCAGAGCGGCTGAACAGGGCACTCAATGTCAGCATTAGGATCCCCTCCTGTTCTGTTTTCCTTGTGGTGGTAGAGCCATTGTGCCGTGGACACCTTCCTGCTGCTACTTAGCAAGAGCCATTTCTCAAGGTTACTGTCAAGAACGATCTGGTTTGGCACCCAGGTCTTACCTGATTGCTGGGGCAAAAATCTAAAAGCAGTATAGTGCTTCTTTTGTTTTCAGAGGAAAACAAGTCAATCAGGATGAGAAGCAAAGTGTCAGTGAATTCACTTGAACCACAATATAGAGATGAAGAGAGAGGTTGAAGTGGCATTTTCTTTAACATTACATGTGAAAGCATATGGTGCATTGTGTGTGTGATTTAGTGTTGAGGGCGGTTGATGTTAAGCAGCGCATTTGTCTAAGTAAGGAAGCTCCTGTTGAGTTCCTCTTGCTCCTGCTGTGGTGCAGCATGGCGTCCCCTGGGCTAGTCATTCTGCAGTTTCGTGGTCCTTGGTTCTGTTTCTCTAGTGCTGTCTCCTCTGGAGAAGGCTGGAGGAATGAGTCCAGGTGAGCCTGTGGCACCTGTCATGTCTCTGTTGGCAGAGGATGGTGTGAAATGCAGGCCTAGAATTCGCTATTTTCCCTGCAGGTGGGGGAACTGGAGTTACCTGCAGATCCCAAGGCAGGCGAGTGGTGGTGTTCCTTTGTCTTCAGTGTCACATAGCATTTGGGGTCCTTCCCTCTGAGGTGGTGTCACCAAGATTCCTGCTCATGTCATGGGTTTTGTCCACTGAACCTCATAAATGACTTTTTACGCTTCAGCACCCATCTTAGGGAACAGTGTCAGAGATCAGAAGAATGAGTGTGATGGCAACAAAAATATAGAAAAGACAAGCCCTGCCCTAAAGCCAGCCCTTAGGAAACTGTGAACTTCAGTGGTTAAAGAGCTTGGGCCCTAGAGTCATGGAGAGCCTGGTTCTCGTCCTGATCCACCACTTTCTGCTTTAGTAACCTTGGCTAAGGTTGGTGACCGTCCTGTGCCCCAGCTGCCCCATCTGGGAATTGGGAAGAATACTGAATAGCGCCTTTCCCAGGTACTTCATATTTGGCATAGGGTGGGTGTCCTGTGGTATTAGCTGTTATTATTCCTACTCTTGTTATTTACCAGTAGGACAATGGTTGGAGAGTAGGAACGTCTTATCTGGTGTTTGCAGCAGTTACTGGGCACATTTCTGCTCCTGGTCATAATAGTGTTCCCCAACAGTTGAAAAATCCTGGCAGTGGACGGAGGTCTGAAGGTCATTTCTCTCTCCAGTGGAGCCTTTACCAGCCCTGTCTGACTTTTCCAGAGGCCTCAGTGTCGTCCCTGATGATGAAGTCATTGAAATGTACGAGGGGTCCCACGTGCCCTTGGAGCAGATGAGCGACTTCTATGGAAAGGTGATGAGACGCTCTTTCTCTATTGAGACAGCCAGGATTCTCCTCCTCTCTAGTCAGTTTCAGCTCTGTGATAAAGAATCTGGGGAAACAACTGACATGAGGAAAGATTGATCGTGGCACATGGGTTCAGAGGTTTCAGTCCATGGTCACTTGGCTCCACTGCCATGGGGAGGCAGAGCATCACGGTAGAAGGTTGTGGAGAGCAGAGACAGAGAGAGAGAGAGAGGGAGGGAGAGAGAAAGAGAGAGAGATAGCTAATGAGAGAGACCAGGAAGGTTCTTCCAACTAGACTTCTAATAGTCCATTCAGTTTTGACGCAGCAGAGAATTAATCCCTTGACAAAGTTAGAGCCCTCTTGGTTCAATCTCTTTATAGCGCCACCAGCTGGGAACCAAGCCTTCAACACATGAGCCTTTGGGGGGACACTTCATAGCAAAACCATAACGTTTTTGAAACATGGCCCCCAAGTTGTAGGAACTTGAACTACTGCACTCACCTGCTGATCATGTGGAACTTATGGGGAAACCTGAGATTGGATGTGGAGAGACTGGTTAGTGTGTTAAGAGTCACTCCTGGCTCCTTCATGATTCTCCTGAACCCCTTTCTCCTACCTGGCAGAGGCACTCTCTACCTCCTTGTGCCTATCCCGTTTGCCACCACGCTTCCAGGGGCTGGGTGAAGTCACTAGGGGCTGGGTGAAGTCACTACGGCTGTCTGTGCAGTGGCAGTGGCTACCCTAGAGGTTGTCAGCCTCCTGGCTGCCTTTGCTGGAAGGGAAGCCTCTGCTTCTCTGACTTTTGTGGTCTTCCTTCCAGAGAGGGAGCAGGAAGTAGGACTAAGTGCAGGGAGAGTAGGGAGGGAGGAAAAGGGAGAAGAGAGGCGGGGAGGGAAGGGGGTCGGTCTTGTCCCAGTTATTCTAGAGTGAGGCATCAGCTCTGCTGTGAAGGCAAGAGCAAGGTAAACTCACTATTATCTCCCTCTTTAGCTGGAGAGGGATCTAATGCTGCCCCGTGCACTGTGAGGAGGTGGGCCTCTGTTTCTAAAGCCTCCCTCTCCATCTGCAGAGTTCTCACGGGAACACCATGAAGCAGTTCATGGATATCTTCTCCCTGCCTGAGATGACCCTGCTGTCCTGTGTGAACGAGCACTTCCTGAAGAACAGCATTGACTATGAGCCTGTGCACCTGTACAAAGATGTCAAGGTTGTGTGGTGGGGGATCGAGGAGGCAGCAGACTGCAGCCTTCTGTCTGAGTGGGGGTTTGAATAGTTCTCTCCCAGGGGATTACCTTTCCTTGGACTTTAACCCCAAAAGTCCTAACAAATATGTTGCTGTATCAGGAGAATTGGAAAACTGTCAGTTTGTGTACTACCAGGATGGGGCTCACACTGCTGTCTAGATTTTTAGTCCTTTCTGATGCAAAGGCCAGAGTACCTGGTCCAGGATTTAGCCTGCACCCACAGGGAGAGTGTCTCCTTATATGGAGATATGGTGTACCATATCCCCCATTGCCCAGAGGGGACCTTTTTAAACACTTAGGTCTTAGTTGCTAGAATATAATTATACATTTTTATGGGGTGCAGCGTGATGTTTTGGTGCACACTGTACCCCATAAAGATGGTCCGGTTATAGGAGAAGGAGGGAGACTGGCTAGTAGGGCACCTTTTTCTCTTGCTCATAAGGTTCCGCATGGCTCTCTGAGGCCCTGCAGAAGCCAGGCCAGAAATCTCAGTGGAGGGATATGGACAGATAGAATCCTTTCGAGGCCTGTGTACACAATATTTAGAAATAAATCCATATTCAGAGCCACATGGTTATGTGGTTATATACATTTGTTATGCTGTATACTTAACAAATACTTAAATACTTAAAATGTGTTTATTTATTTGATATACGTAAGAGTATACAAGACATATTTTTATGTAATATATATTTACTCAGAACATTTATGTTTTTAAATGATATATATTTACATACTAAAGTATTTTTAGTCTGTTTATGACTAATATAAAATTTTGACTGTTCACATCCTAGATTTTGGGTGGTAAAGGGTGAATTAGAGTTCTCATCAGCGTGGTATTACTTGAGCTAAACTGAAGTTCTCAGTTTCTAGTTTCCTTTTTGCGCACAGGCACTTCATCTTTATAAATTGCTCATGGCAGCTCTTTGCATTCACAAGGAGACGTGTTTATTTAAGAGTTCACTTTACTACAGATATCACTGCCTCTAATAGCAAAGACTTCTGTAGAGCTTATCCAGGTCCTGTGCTGAGTGCTTTCTACATATTAACTCACTAAATCCTCACCATAATGCCTGGATGTAGATATTATTCTTATCATCACCCTATTTTACAGATAAGGACATTGAGGCACAGAGAGGTTGAGTAACCTGTCCAGGGTCACATAGTCAATAGGTAGCAGAGCCTAGATTTTAAGCTGGGCAGCCTGGCCTGCATTTAACCATTGCCTTCTGTTGCTTGTTTAAAATGAAGCAGACTTGTGGTGAAAGGTAACTGAAGTTGAGATTGTGTCTGCTCTTGACAGAAATCTCCTCCTGGCAGTCTGACACTTAGGTACAGTTGTTCCTGAGCCTAGTCTCCTGCTTCTCTTACCAGAAAGTTTCCATAGACCTCCAGGGTGCCATCTATGCAGAGGCCTATGTAGAGCCCACTTCGAGTGGGGCTCTGTGTTGACACTTGTCAAACGTCAGGTTGCCACACCCTTGAGATTACAAAAGGTTAACCTGCCCCTCTTCCTCCATCTGTTCCTGGGTCTGCCAGTTGGACCATGTCTTTTAGACCATGTCTCTGCCTGGTGCCAGGGTCCTGGACAGTGTCTTGCCCTATTGGTGGTAGTATGGAGAGATGGAGGACACTGTTGCCTGTCTCCCTCTGTCTCACATTCAGGTGCAGGATCACTGCTGTTGTCCAGGGCTGGGAAGGAAGGGTGCAAAGATGCAGAGAGCAGGGGCTCACCTTGTTTAGATCCCCTGGTGTTGCTTATGACAGTGCGTATAAACGATTGTTTATCATACAGGACTCAGGCAAAGTACCTCTAGCAGGTGAGCCTTTGGAAAATTGTATTAGAACCTGTGATTGTCACTGTGGAAGTTTTGGGGGCCCCCTGTGATAAATGGACCAGTTTAGACTTTGTGTAGTGTTTGGATTGGCAGACTTCAGAGGCGGAAGCTTGCAGTAGCGCTGTTTTATTTGGACTGGTGCTTTGCTAGTTTCATTCCTCTTTCAGCTGATGAAAACCTGTCTTTGGACAGGATTCAATTCGAGACGTCCACATCAAAGGAATAATGTACAGAGCGATCGAAGCAGATATTGGTATGTACTCATCAGTATCCACTTGTTGTGCCACCGCACAGGCTTTGTACTTTGCATCCCAAGGGCTGAGCGGGGCTGCCTGCACCTCTCTGATGTGCTGTGTAAGGACCTGGATGCTGCCATCACAGATGTCTTCTCTCTGTCTCAGAACTTGACATCTCTCCAACGCAAAAGGAGAGGAGCTGGCAGTGGCACCATAGTTCTCCCCAGGGCTTTGTTTCTGATGCACTGGGTGCCCACACACCAACCTGAACCAAATTTCCTTAAGACTTTCCCCCCTCTACTGTTTCTAGAACAGTGCTGGGCCCAGATGGCCTATTTAGTAAGGACCCACAGAGTGATTGATTTCATGCTGAATCTGTGTGGGAATTTTTCTCTTGCTCTTAGAAAAGTACATCTGTTATGCTGAGCAGACCCGCGCAGTATTGGCCAAACTGGCTGACCATGGCAAGAAGATGTTTCTTATCACCAACAGCCCCAGTAGCTTCGTGTAAGTCGTTCTCAGTCTCCTTGCTGGTGTCTGGCTTGCTTCTTCTGGGCCGTTTACTTTAGCAGTTGAAGAGAACTAGTTGCAAAAGTAGTTCAATCCTTTAATGTTCAACTAACCTAGCTGACTTGTTGTTCTAGGGACAAAGGGATGCGGTATATCGTTGGGAAAGACTGGAGGGACCTGTTTGATGTGGTTATAGTTCAGGCTGAGAAGCCAAACTTCTTTAATGATAAGCGGAGGTGAGTGTCCATCTTGCTAGGGGACTCCATTTCCTTTCTTGGAGCAGGCCTTGGTGAAGTCCAGTTGCAAAATCCCGAATAGCTGATATGATCACTTTTGATTTGTAATCCTTCTAGCAAGTAATTGTAGGGACCCTGGAATTAGCACATAGCAGACAGCTTGCACATTGAAATGGTTCTCAGTTCACCTTGGGCTCCTCAGACCTGTGAGTCAGGCTTTAAGAAAATGACTGACAGTAATGAAAAATCAAAACTTAATATCACATAGAAAATGCCATAGACACATTGTGAAGCATAAGGAAACTATATCAGTGTTGGGCATGGTGACACATGTCTATAATCCTAGCACTTGGACCACAAGTTTGAGGCCAGCCTGGGCTACGTAACGAGTCTCATACAAACAAACAAAAAAGAAAACTAGTAAGAGACCACCTGATGGATACCTCTTGTGCATTTAAAATTGCACTTTGATTTTACATAACATTTTAAAATAAATTTTTTATCAGGATGTATTCATTACATGGGGAGGTTTACAAAACATTTTTGCAACAGGACTTTGCATCAAGTGGGACAAATTTCTGCTGTCTTATATAGTGTCTTCCTGCCACATAGCTCTGGGAGGGAGGGGAAGTTTTGTGTTTTAACAGTGACTGGCCTGTGCTGTTAGTTTTAGTGGGTGGAGGTCAGCAGTCCTAAAATATCTTTTAATCTGGGGCCAGACTAGTTGCTCCCCACCCCTAAAGGTTCCTGCTCTACGGTTCTAAAAATAACTCCTGTTTATATAGTGGCCTGGTGTTGAAACACTTGTACCTCGTCTACAGTTGGTGACCAGGTGGCCTGTCTCTCTGTGAGTGATTTAAAGCATCTGAACATGCTGCCCTGTAGTAGTTAGTGCTGAGTGCACTGCACCAACTACAGTTTCTTTCTTTCTTTTTTTTTGTGCCACTGAGAACTGAACCCAGGACCGCATGCAAGCTAGGCAAGTGCTCTACTGTTTGAGCCACACCTCTAGCCCTTTTATTTTGTGTGTGTGTTTTTTTTTTTGAGACAGGGTCTCATTACCTTTTGGCCAGGATAACCTGAAACTCATGATCTTCCTGCCTCTCCCTCCCAAGTATCTGGGATTATAGGTATGCACCACCATGCCTAGCTCACCAAGTTCTAGTTTTTTAAGTGTCACCCTGAGTCCTAGAAGAAGAGGCAATCCCAAAGTACCATCTATAGAGACTGAAAAATGTGGGCATGATTCAAGAGAATGAAAGGAAAACTAGAAGAAGCAGCCTCAAACATTGGCTTTGTTGCTATACATTTGTCCTTAGATTCCTGGCTGAGGTCAGGATCCCTTTGCCAAGGACCCCCTCTCTTCCAACAGGTTTATAGACAGCAGAGGGGCAGGGTCCTGATTCTTCCTGGGTGGGGGGATGGGTTCAGCCTGGCTCTCCCCTCCTTCACTGCACCATTTATTTTGCCTTTCATTCTAGATGCCTGGAATAAGAGCTGAGTGACTCTCCATCTGTATTTATGCTTCTGTTATTATTTGTTTGTTTGTTTATTTATGTAGTTCTGGGGCTTGAACTCAGAGCTTCGCACTTGTGAGTCAGGTGCTCTGCCACTTGAGCCACACTCCCAGCCATCCTGTGTTTTCTATAAAAGCCCGACAGCAGATGACTAGTTAGTTTGGAACATCCATGGGAGGGGATGTTATGCAGCCATTAAAAATGATGTATTTGGGGAGAAAAACAGCAGTGGGCATGTTTTACTGCTGTAAAAACAGTGTACTCAAGAATATGTCCTCACATGAGAAGTTGCTCATGATATTAGGGGGAAACGAAATAAATCAGTATGCACAAAGCAGTCTTCTAGTATGTGGTCAAATTTCGGTTGAGTAAGTGTCTAGGCAGGGTTTCCATGAGCTTTCCTTATGAAGCAGGTTTTCTGGATGGTTGAGTAGCTTCAGGAAATCTGAGCTAAGAAAGTTCATTTAATGCAGGGCTTTTCAGAGCCTTCGGGAATTTTTAAGAGGGACAGAGACAGTATAGTGGGGTTTTCTGGAATTTTTTTTTTTTTGGGGGGTGAACCGTCTGTAGATGGTGGGGTCTGCTTAATGTGGAATGTATTAACCTAGGCCAGGGGCATGAGTTCTGGGGTCAGGGCTTTTTTTAGGTTAGTGGAGGGAACTCCTTCTGGTTGTCAGGAAGTAATGGGTGTCTTTCAGGGGACAGATAGCCTGTACTCTTATCATGTGTTGTAATGTCTCCCCTTTCTGTTGTTAGACCTTTCCGAAAGGTGAATGAGAAAGGTGTCTTACTCTGGGATAAAATCCACAAGTTGCAGAAAGGCCAGATTTACAAGCAGGTATCTCTTGACCAGTTTGTCCTTCGTGTTGCTTTGCTTTATGGTCACAGTGGACAGTCACTGAGACTTCCTTGTGCTAGGCACAGTCTCTTCCCCTGAATCCACTGTGTCTACCGTGGTGGCCAACCTTCCTCTAAAATCATTAGATTTTTGACCTGTCAGTATCTAAAATAACACCAGGTTGACCAGTTTTTTAAAGCAATGTAAAGCATTTGCCTAAAAAGTATACAAAATTTAAGATGAGCTTTGGGAATTTCTCTTAAAGGAGCATTAATCCTGGCATGTCATTTACCCAAGTTAGAATTTCCTGATGAGATAAGGTTTTTTGTACAGTCTTAACATATTTTGGTGTCATAAGACTGTCAAGTGTTTGAATACACAATTGAATTGGTGATCATCTTTATGTTATTGATGTTGTTTATTTTTCTTTTAATACCAATAATTCTTAGTGGGTGTGTAACAGCCTGCTAGATTTGGCAATGAGTATATTTTGTAGGCCTTGAAAAATTAAGATTTAACACTACCATTTGATTCTAGCAAGTTAGCCTAAGAAAATTAAGATGGATCTAATAAAACCTTGCAACAAGAATGTTTATCATGAAGTAACTTGCAAAATGGATCCCAACATAAATGTCCATCTTCAGGCCATTGGTAAAAGAAGTCATGGGGCTTTTCAGCTTCACATTTAGAGTGAGATTAATATTTATTGATATTGAAAGATGGTCACAGCATGTTAAGTGTAAAAAAATAGTTAAAATGGAGTGTAGGCAATATGGAACATTTTCAAAAAGTCTGTATGTCCTGGGAAGAGGGTGTGAAAAATTTCCAATGAAAGTGCTTTTATCTTTACATTTTGGTATTTAAATTTTTTTTTAGAAGTTGGAAAAATGTTTTGGACTGTTTCTATCACATGATGTAAAATCTATATTTTTCTTTTATTACAGGGCAACTTATATGAATTTCTAAAGCTTACTGGATGGAGAGGATCTAAAGTGTTATATTTTGGTGACCATATCTACAGTGACCTGGCGGTGAGGAGCCCTTTTCTCCTTTCTTTATTGGGGGACAGATATGTTAGTTCCACGTATTATGGAATTTTTTTTCTATATAAGGCCATTTTTATGCTTTCCTAAAAACCAGAGACAGTCCACATTTTTAAATACTTCCTTTTTATACATCAGGATAGATCAGTCATGAAAAAAAGATAAATTTTTTGGAAATGGTGGAAATTAGAAATTTACTCAAAGAATTGATTAGAAAAACCTTTCCATTTAAATAGTGATAAGCAGTAACTGGCAGTGTTCTTTCCCTCTCCTTTTGTCAATTTGTGAGAAAACACAAATGTGTCACATCAAAGCTCATAGACATCAGTCAGGAAAGCTAGTGTTTCCAGGAAGCAGCTACTGTGTGCAGTAGCTTTTCTTACCCTTGGGATGATCAGAGGAGCGTCACAGGACTGGAATGAAGGTTTGATTTATACTTGGACAAGACTGAGTTCAGATCCATTGCCATGCTTGGTGTCTTGTGGGTGGAATGAGTTTCTGTTTGTTAAGTGATCCCACGTCACACCTGGCATGTTTTCCCAGTGTCACGGAGGTAACAGAGTGAGACATGGCTTCCTACCAACTCCATCATTGTCGTTGAGTCTGTCTCTGAGTCTTTTAGCCCACACTGGTCTGGCTTTATGTATACATCTGTACGTCCTTCTTGTGTCTGACTGCCATTTTATGCAGTGAACTTAAACCATAAGCGTAATGAGACAGTCCTGTGCAGTAAGACTGTTTGGATGCATTTTCAGAGTCCATGTGCCTGAGCCCCACCCAGGTCTAAATGAAATCAGACTTCCTGGTGGTGGTGAAGGTAGAAGGATAGATCCCAGCACCTAGGTAGTAATATTCTTTCTAGGTGACCTCAGCACATACCTAGTATGAGCACACCCACCTGCCCTGTGGGTCAAGGTCTGCGGTCAGGAATTGGGTCCTGAATGAGTAGACTAACTCTGTTGTGTTCCAGCTGTGTGACTTTGGGTACATTCCTAATGTGTTCATTTGTAGCAGAGTGCAGTAAGATCATGCAGTCATAGTGATTAATAAAGCAGAAATACAAAGTGCTACTAGAGCAGCACTCCCAGAATACCCAGCTGAGTGATGTGGCACCACAGGCACCTGCTTCTTGTAAGTAAGGTGTGGGCTCTGGTCAGGTAACTGCTTGCTTCCCTTGAGTCCTGGAGTTCCCTCTGCAAGGGAACAGTGCACACACATAGCACTTGGTGTTATGAGGAGTGTCCATAATCAGTGGTTCTTCCTTCGGGTCCTCTGGAAACATCATCATCATCATCATCTTGGCAACTGTGAGAACTGTGCGTTCCCAGGCCTCACCCCCGACCTGCCAGATCACAAGCTCTGGGGTGACGCCTGACACCCGTACTTAGCCTGCACTCCATGCTGAAGTCTGCTGTCAGGGCCTCAGAATTGGTTTCATAGAATGAGCAAATACTCTCTTCTCTTCAATTTTTGGAAGACTGAGAAAAATTGGTGTTAATTTTTCTTAAAATATTTGGTAGAATTCACGAGTGAGGTTATCTGATCTTGGAATTTCCATTGGGAGGTTTTTGATTACTGATTTCATCTCCTTGCTACTTATAGTTCTAAGATTTTCTACTTCATCTGTAGAATTGATAGTTCTGTCACCGCTTGAATTTCTGATTTTAGCAATTCAAAGGTTCTTGTTCTTTTAGTCAAGCTACAGGTTTGTCAATTTTGTTGATGTTTTAGAAATCAGCTCTTGCTTTTTGTTGATATTCTTTGTTGTTTTCTACTCTTATTTTATTTTTCTTTGCTGTAATCTTTATTTCCTTCCTTCTGCTAGCTTTTGGGTTAATTTCTTTTTCTAGTTCCTTAAGGTATAAAGTTAGATTGTTGATTTCTTTCTTTTTTTTTTTTTTTGAATGTAAATGTTATAGCTACAAATTTCCCTCTTAGCACTGTTTTTTGCTGCATCTCGTAAGTATAGGTATGTTGTGTTTGCATTTTTGTTTGTCTCAAAGTATTTTTTAATTTCACTACAATTTCTTCTTTGACCTTTTGTTTGAGAGTATGATGTTTACTTTCCCATATCTCCGAAGTTTCCAGTTTTCTTATGCTTCTGATTTCTAGTTTCATTTCACCGTGATCAGAAAAGACACTTGGTATGATTTTGATCTTGTAAAATTTATTAACATTTGTTTTGAGGCCTAATGTCTAGTCTGTCCTGTAGGATGTCCCATGTGCCCTTGAGAGAATATGTATTTCACTGTTCAGGGTGGAATGCTCTGTATTTGTATTAGGTCCACACGATCTGTAGTGTTGCTCAGGGCTTCTGTTTTCTGACTAGTCTCTGTCTGTGTTAGACAGCATAGAAAGTGAGTTATTGAAATCTCTTTCTAGTATTATAGAGGAGTCTTATTTCTGTCTTTATATCTTGCATTGGCTTCATATCTTTTGAAACTCTGATGTTTGGTGCATCTTTATACTAGTTATGTCCTTCTTGGTGAATTGATCTGTTATCCTGTAAGTTGTTCTTGGTCTCTTATAACAGTTTTTGACCTAAAGTCTATTTTAGATGATATTAGTGTAGCTCCTATTCTCTTTTGATTGTATTTTCATAAAATATCTTTTTCCAAACATGCATTGTCTTCTTCCTTCTTATGTTACCCACTTTTCCACTTATGTGTGCATCTAGATTTAAAGTGGGTTTTCTGTAGGAAGCTTAGAGTTGGATCTCACACTGAAGTTTGAAAACCACTATTACAAAGCAATGAGCCCAGCTTATTAATCAGTATGTCAGAGTAGTCATTACCCCTGAGCAGTCCTCTGGATGGTCAGATACTTTCTGTGTTGCTGCTTTAAAAAAAAAACCAAAAACACACTTGGATGCTCCAGTTTTGAGAGCCAGCTCAAGGCACAGAAAAATTTATTATTATTATTATTATTATTATTATTATTATTAGTTCATTATTATGTACTCAAATCTTTGGGATGTTTCAAATGACTTTTACTTAGTTTTAGAACTACAACCCACCTTCAAAAATTTGCTACCACAGGGAATATTTAAAAGAATGTGTGGTGGGTTTTCATGTTCTAGGAATAAGCAACATATTGAAAGGCTTAAAGGAATTGAGCCAGTGAAGAGGGAGGGAACCTTAGGGCTCACAGAGTAGGGATTTGAGCTTATGTGAGTAGCCAGAGTACCATTTCTCTCCTTAAAAACCCTGTATTCCTTTCTCCTTCATAGTAAAGGTCTATGTTCCTACAGTTCCCCTCTGATCTTTTCTTCCCCCAACCCACTTCTCTGAACACTCCTCCTGCCTCTGCCCCCTCTCCTGCTCTATTCTAGGTTTCTGTATTGTGGCTTCTTATTACCTCCCCTCAGCATGCTATCTCAGGGCCTTCGTACTTGCTGTTCTACCAATCAGAATGTCTCTTCTCTCATATTTGTGTACCTTTGCCCTTCTTCCCTTAAGATTTCTGCTCAAATGCCCCTTTATTAGGTGGCTCTCCCTAAATACCTTTGTAAAATGATGGCATCCTTGTCCCCTGCTCTTTTCCCTTTATTCTGTTTGATCTTTATCCCTTATATTTCTCATTACCTGCCATTGTATGTTTACTTATTTATTGTCTGTATTTTCCATGAAGGCAGGGATTTGTCAGTTTTCATTCATTGCTTTATTCTCAGAATTTAGAACAGGACCTGACAAAATAGTTCTTGGTAAGTATTTGCCAAATGAGAAAAAGAATGGCCATTTAGTACTGTGACTGCATATCTTAGATTTTCCAGGACAATGCTGATCTTAAATATTCTGGCCTGTTGTCACGTCAGGGAATTACAATATGTGGAGTGAAAATTGTCATTATATGTGCTTATGTTATGAACATTCCAAGTGTGAAGTTCTGTGATTCTTCATAACCCAGAGGACTTCCCCAGAGTTTTTAAATAAAGGTCTTGAATGAGGACTTGGGTTGTTTTGTTTTACTGTGCCTGGGATCTATAGATAAGTTCTTTACCACTGAGTTATATTTCTAGTCTTTGGATTTTTGAGAGACAGTCTTGCTTGTATAGTGCAGGCTGATCTAGAACTTACTATGTGGCCTCTACTCCTGATCCTCTTGCCCCTACCTCCGGAGTTCTAGAATTACAGGCAGGCAGCACCTCATCTGGCTTGAATGAGGATTCAAGGATTTTTGGTGGTGTCTCTGCCCCTGACCTCAATAGTTCCCCTATCCCCCAGATCCTGGTTAATGATTTCCAAACACTGTGTTTTTATAGGAGATGTGATTCACAGCAATTATTCCCAGAGCAGAAGCTTTCTTAGGGTGAAGTGGTCAAAGCCTAGAGCCAAATTAGTTTTAATTAAGTATAATTCATTGAATTCAGCTTGGTTAATAACTAACCATTATAATTAAAAAGTAATAAAATGAATGTGCCTCCTATCTGGGACAAGTCATGAAATGGATCTCTGAGGAGACTAATATTGACTTTCTGTGACCTTTGCAATCAGGATTTGACCCTGAAGCATGGCTGGCGGACTGGTGCCATCATCCCTGAGCTGCGGTCTGAGCTCAAAATCATGAACACGGAGTCATACATCCAAACCATGACCTGGCTGCAGACCCTGACTGGGCTATTGGAGCAGATGCAGGTTTGGGATGTTTTTCTCTCTCACTTTTTCTTTAAGCCAGTGGTCAATATGATTTCACGTGTTTTCTGTTTACTTACAGTTGTAAAGTATAAGGTTTAAGTCTTCTTAGTAAACTGTAGAATAACCAAGGGTGATTTTGCCTATAAAAGCAGCTTGCTACTTGCCCTGAAGGAACCTTTAAAAATGGCTACCAAAGCTGTTTGGAGAGTCTTTTCTGGCCTGTGCAAATGTAAGTGTTGTTTACGTTCCTCTTTTGGTGGAAATTGGGTCCTTTTGTCCACACTCAGTCATGCCATCCTCTGTCCTATGGGGTGGGGATGATTTTAGGAGCTCTGCCGTTGTTGGGCTCCCATCCTGCTTCTGCCTTTATTTTGCTGTGGGACTTCTCCACTCTAGATCTCATTTTTGTCATTTGTAAAGTAAAAGGTCCCTGGAGTAACTATGTCAGGCTAGGCCTGGTGCTTCCTGGCAAGAGTCAAGGTTCTTAGATGCAGCCTCTTTGTGAGTTTGGAAAAAACACCCGCTTCCTGGCTCAGTGGCCGACACTTCTTTCTTTAGGATGTGCAGCCAGTTTCAGGCAATTAGTAAGGAATGTCCTTTTCATCAGGCACTTCCTGAACCAGGGAAGGTACCCCTGCGTTGCAGCTGTGACCCCTGCAGGGCCTCCCCGCTGCCCACTTTCACAAGCCCCTGCTTTCTCCTTGGTCCAGCTTGCTGGCTGCCATCAGACTCTTTAGCTCCAGGACAGCACTCTTGGCTGACACACCTGTGGGCTCTGCCCTATGGCCTGCTGCCCATGGTGGCTCCTGCAGAGCTGCAGGAGAGGTGGGCCAGGCTTCCCACCCAGGCTCACACTCCCAGCGTGGAGCCCCACACGTCCTCTGGGCCTGGCTTCCAGTGTGCTCCGGCCATACTGGTTCTTGGCTCTTCTCCGATGAGGGCTTATTTTGTTCTTTTACTATGTGAGCCTGTGAGATGGTTTTCTAAAAATATCAGGCATCAATTCTGGGTTAATGTAGCCGAGGTCTGCCTGCGTCACACAATACTAATGGCACACTCTATGTGCCAGGCTTTGTGCCAAGTGCTCACACTATGCATGTGATCCAGTACCTGATTGCACGTAGGAGCAATTTCTCCATTTTAGAATAAAGAAACGGGTTTTGAGAAGTTAGTAACATGTCTAAGATCAAAACAATGGAGCCAGACTTGTTCCCAGGCCTTGTGATGCCCAAGTGCAGGCTGGAGCACTACACTAAAATGCTTGCTGGAGTAGAAATCTCGAGTCAAGCCGAAGACTTTAAAGTAGTCTTATTTGAACTTTCTCTTTCTGTTAGCTAACTGTGCTCAGCTGCAGTCTGAAAATATTAAGTGGAAATTAATAGAAATAATTCAGAAATTTTAAATAACCTTTCCAGGATACTTCTGTAGTATCTTTTTGTAATTGTTCTATTTTATTATTGTTAATTTCTTATTGTGCCTAATTTATAAATTAATCTTTGTCATAGCTGTATATATAAAAAAAACATAGTGGACACAGGGTTTAGTATATCTGGTTTCAGGCATCCATTGCTGTTTCAGGGAACGTGCGCCCTGCAGATAAGGAGCGGGGACTGTACTGGCCTTAGTTTTATTCTTTCTGTGACCACGACAGCTGGTCAGATAAACAGACAGAACCTTGTGTGTAGATGACATGACTGTGTTTTAGCTTTGGAAACAGGTTTTGTTTTCTTGTTTGAACTGTAAAAAAAGAGTTTGTTGGTTAAGGAATGTGTGTGTTAGAGAATGAAAACATTGAACATAGCTCTGTGACTTTTTATTAATTATACAAAGCTAAGGGTTAGGGAAGTAAGAAGAGAGAATTTCCATTTACATTGCCACCCCCATTTCACAGGCGAGAAAACCGAGGCAGAGAGATAAGTAACTTTCTAGGGCCAGTGATCAACAGGATGAAGGCATGTAGTAATGGAATGAGGACTTTGCTCTAAACATTAGAGTTTGTGCTCATTTCATCCTCACATCTTTTGGAGCAGGTGCTGAGAGCATCACCCAGATGTTACAGGAGAAGAAACAGAATCCAGAGGAGAAAATCACTTTTTCCAGTGAGGGGTGGTGTTGGGCTTTGAGTCTCAACCTCTGGGTTGCGTTGCCTCCTCAGAGCGCTCTGTCAGGTTGGATGCTCAGGGATGGAGAGGAGTGTAACTGATCATTTAAAACTATCCAAATGCACGTTGCTCCTTACTGCCCTTCCCTCTGCCCCCCACCCTCGATGTTCGCCTGGGATGTTACACATTTCTCCATCGCTCCGTGTTTCTAGAATACTCCTCAGAGACGACTTGCAGAGCACATAGTACATTATTTATTGAGAGGAAAAATTTGTTCTCTGAGATTGGGTTTGCTGGGTGGGGGGCCAGGCAGCAGAGTGTCATTTGGATGAAATGATAAATTAACTAGAAGTATATTATTTGAGTTTTTAGAAAAGTGACTATAAAGAATGTTTTGATAGTGCATCCAAAATGATTGGTGTTAATGGCGGCCATGCTGCCGTCAGTAGACTTTCCCTGGGGGGTAGGCAGAGGCCACGTTGAGACTCTGGGCAGACAAAGTTCTGCAAGGCCAGTAGTAAATGCTGTAAGTGTGTGGACCTGCTGTATCATAATCACTCGATTCTGCATTTGTAGCACAAAAGCAGCCATGGGTACTGTGTGAGTGAACGTGGTAGCTGTACCCCAGTGCACTTTAAAGATGAATGCTGAAGTATGAGTTTCCTTTCATTTTCGTGTGTCACAAAATTGCTCTTCTTTTGCTCCCCCCACCCTTCCCCACGCACCATTTAAAAAGGAAAACCCCTTAGGAAGCCCAGAGGCAGATGGCAGTATGGAATGATAGTTGGATTTGGCCTGCTTCTTGGCAAGGCCAGGTTATACTGCCCTGCTCAAGCAAGGGTGGGGGGCCCCTGTATTGTAACGTAGCCAATCTGTGTTCTGCTTATGCAGAGCTGATTACACTGATGGACAACCCTGCTTCCAAGATGGCTGAGAGCCTGGGCGGGGAGGGGGGTCACCCTCTGGCATAGGCCTCTGATTAGTCTTCTCCCATGTTAAACTACCCTCCTGGAGTGCACAGTTTCACTTTAAAGATATGGCTAATTAACACAGACTGTAATATTTTAAAATAGATTTCAAATGCCTGAGACTTGTTTTACAGGCTATGCCTTGAAGGGGAGCAGAGCTGGAGAAGGGGTGGGCCCAGGAGAAGTAGATTTTCTCTAGAATGGGAGGGACGAATGTGGTTCAGTGTTGATTGGGATTGGTCTGGGTGAGATCCTTGTTCATATGAGAGAGATGATAAATGATGGAGAAAGGTTCTGGGAGGGCAGGCCAGAAGCAGCCATGGCCAGGCACTCAGGGAGCCTTGGATGATAAGGCCCAGGGCAAGCTCCCAAATCCTGGTAGCTTCTTCCCTGGCCTCAGATTTCTGGCCCCTTCCTCCTTTGTATTTCTCTTCAGCAGCCTTGTGGTCACAGGGTGCAGAGGACTTTGTATCATTCTTGATTGTCCTCCGAATTCAGGACCAGTAGAGAACTAGAGGCAGGCGTCAGAGTGGGATGCATGTACTGTCTGCTTATCTCTGGTAAAGCTGGCCTGGAGAACATGCCTTGAACTTGGAGACTTGAGTGGACTTGTGTCTGCAGAACTACCCCGGGGGCCATCTGGGCATCAAGAGTAGAGAGGAGACTTCACATGGCCTCTAACAGCTAGGTTTAAAAAAGAGAGGGAACAAGTAGATTCGTTTTGGTGATCCTCAGCCAAGTCACCAGTCAGAATTTTTTTCCTTCTGCAAGCATGGCACTATTGTAGTTGGTTTGGGCTGCTGTAACAATACCATTGCCTGGTGGCTTAAACAACAAACATTTATTTCTCACAGTTCTGGAGGCTGGGAAGTCCAGGATCATGGTGCCAGCAGAGTCATCGTGTGGTGAGGCCTGGTTTTCCTTGGCAGCCTCACGTGGTGGAAAGAAGGCTGCTGTCTCTCAGGAGCCTCTTTTGTAAGGGCACCAGTCCCATTCCTGAGAGTTCCATCCTCATGAGTTTGTTATCTCTCAAAGGCCCCACTCCTAATACCATCCCATAGGAAGTTAGTATTCTACTTAGGAATTTTGGAGGGATGCAAATACCCAGTCCATTACGGGCGAGATAAGGAGCTGAAGCTGCTTCCTTCCACTTAGGTGAGGACCCCAGTGCCTAGTCATGGGTCAGGATGGCTTTGTGGGCAGACATGGGGTTGGAGATTTCCTCCCACAGATTGACACCCCATTTTCAGTGGTGTCACATTGTCATGCACTGGCCCCCACAACTGCCTCCATTTGCCCCCCACCTTCCCCATGGCACTTTGGCCTCTAACACACTTAGTAGGTGCTCAATGAAAGTACAAGTAATCACACATGCAGTTATGTAGAAATCCCTGTGATACCGTATGGACCTTACGATAGACCTCTTCTGATCTAGCCTAAATTCTATAGTGAGCAATTTGTTAGTTTAAGGCTAATGAAAAATATGTTCATAGAATCCACATGGAAACTCCCAGACCTGCTGGTGTGGTGGGCTGGTGTTCCACTAATGCACAGCCTGTGGCTTTTCAATGTTAGCTGCTTCCTGGTGGTGTAGCTAGGGGTATCAGGCGAGAGATCCAATTTCACATTGAGCTGAGGCAGTTTCTGTCTGAGTGGCAGAGACCCTTATCCAGGTGACTGTTAGTAGTCCCATTGTTTAGCTGGCCACATGCAGTAACCAGAAGGGCTCTAGCTCCCACGTGAGAAGCAGGTGGTTTGCCTGCTTGGTCTTTTCCTCTGAGTTCTAAGGTTTCCCTGTGGTTGAGTTGCAGCGAGCCCCACCTGTCCCCTGCTGTCATGTGTGCCTCTCTCCCTCTGGCTCCACTGTTTGTATTTACCCATGAGAACTGTGGAGAGAGACTGCTGAGTCCCAGTTGTTAAGTTGCAGGCAGCTGTCATTTTCCTTTTACCTTTTGCTCATATTTTGGCTCACCAGAAAATTCTCTGTGTTTCTTTCTCATTGAGGTGTGCTACTTTCTTGTCTTTTGCAAAAAAAAAAAAAATACTGTTTTTCTGTTAAACATTTTAAAAGATAATGTAACATTAAGGAAAAAAAATTAATAGTCCTACTACCCTTGCACAAATTTTTAAAACTTTCCAAATGCAGCAACATGTTTTCACGTTTGCAGTTAGTGGTTATACTGCTATATGTGCTATGTCCATCTGCCGCCATCACGCGGCCACTCATAAACTGCACACAGTAGGCGGTGTGGGGTAGTATGGATAGTGGGTTTATTGCACGCATGTTATATGGGCTTATTTTACATAGATAATATATGCTTTATGTTTATACATAGCCTTTAATAACAGATTAATGTCGTCATAATATTCCATCTTAATTTGTTAAACGAGGTTTCTAACGATGGACACTTAAAGCTTTTGTGTGCGTGCGCGCATGTGTAGAAGGCATGATTTCAATTGGTAAGTCTGAAAATGTATTATTTCACACAAGTGCCTGCCTGTTAGAACTACAAGAGTAAAATTCCTTAAGAAAAGCTGCCTAGTAAGAAATTGTCATTGCTGATGAGTGTTTGAAATCGAAGCTTCCATAACAATTGGCTTGTGCTGCAGGTTCACAGAGATGCTGAGTCGCAGCTGGTCTTGGAGGAGTGGAAAAAAGAGAGAAAAGAGATGAGGTAAGAGTGGGCCTGGTCTGAACCAGTGAGCGCACTGTCCTGCTCTAGCCGTGCTTACCCCTCGTGTTCTCCCAGAGCCAGCCTGAGGCATCATCAGGAAACATCCTTTTTAGCTCCCAGGTGTGACTGTGACTCCCAGGATCCTCTCTGCTGTTAGGACTCACGACATTTCCTTGAGGCCAGCCGTGATCTCTCTCTGGCCTCTAGAAGGAGCTCTTCCTTCTCATTCTTCCCTCCCGCTTTCTTGACTGTCCCCCTGGGGCTGTGCTGGCTCAGTTCTTGGGAATGCTGGTGGCACTTGAGACTTTGGAGACCGCTGGAGGTAGGCTCAGAACCTGCAGTGAGTTCTTAGGGTTCCTGCAAGTCCAGGGTATGTTTGTAACCACTGCTGCTTCAGGAGTGTGCGCACAGCCATGCATCAGCACACTTCTCAGTAAAGAAAGTCACCTGGGGTCAGAGAAGTTTGGTGATGGGCATCACAGGGAATACTTGTCCACAGTAGGTCTTGGTGACAATCATGCTTCTCTAAGAAGGATGCTTTATATGTGACACTCTGTGTGAAGAGTTTCTTGCCATGCCTAGGCACAGCCTCTCTAAGGTTTGGGAACAATGCATACTGCCAGGGTCCTGGCCCTGAGCTGTGGGCAGCCTGGCTTGGGGTGTTTGTGTATCAGTCCATTCCTACATTCTGCAGAAGCCAGCACTGTATTGGATCCCATCCTTCCTCCTACCCCTCAAGCTGTTGGTGTCTGGGATTATTTAGATGTGATTGTCATTAGTAGAAAATGTGGGGTAAGAGGAAGGATGGGGGAGGCAGACTGTGCGATTTGACTGCAGGCCCCTTGCTCCTGAAGTCCAGACCTTCAGCCTATATCCTGGGGAACCAATCACTTGCAGAAACTTCAGATCAGTAGATGAAGGAGCTGCTTCACCTGCCAAGGATTTTGTGTGACTTAGTCTCTGGTGTCTTCAGATCCCCAGAGTACGTTTCAGTAAAACTTTTAAAACCATTCTTTTAGGTCACTCACAGACCTAATTGGGTACATTGAATTTTCTGATGTTTAGTCACTATTGTGTCTGTCATTGCTCTCCCCCCATGATGACAGACAACTGTTACCAGCTAGTGACTTTTATTATTCAGTTGTGCAAATGGTTATACTTTTTGCTGTGTTTGTAAGTGATGTATCAACAGTCAAAAGGTATGTATCCATTTTTCTGGAATATTCTGTAGGGGATGCCCTAGTCATCAGATGGCTTTGTATGCATGTGGAGATGTCCATTTAGAGTGAATGGGTAGAGGTTGGACTTCGGGGCCTAGTGTCTTGGGTGGGGTGAATGGCTTGCTAGGTTGGGAGGAGGTAAGAGGCATTTGGTGCTATGCTGTGTTGGCAATTAACATAATAATCCATAATTTCTCAGGTGTCAAGGAGATTTTAGGATTGTACAGTGTACTTTTATTTCTGTGCTTTCCTCAGTTCTCACAATAACCTTGTAAAAAAGGTCTTAATCCCATTGTGAAACGGGAAGTTCCAAGAGGCAGAACATTTTGAATCTCTCTGTGTGCCTTCAGCAGCAGCTGTACCCTGCATTTTGGTGTGGAAAACGGGGTGTGTCTTTAGAGGGGTCTATGCTTCACACTGAAACCTTACAGCTGGCATCGGTGAGGAATGTGACTTGAGTCATTTTGAGAGATGGGCAGACAGATGCTTTTCTTAATTTGGAAGTTAGGGCTGCTCTTGGCCAATTTTTCTCTCTAGTGAGTCCTTTTTTGTAAAAAGAGATTTTGATTTTAGTAGTTGAAAAGCAAACCTTCTGAAATCATTTTGGTGTTCCTTTTTTTCCCTTTTCTCTTGCTGCTTCAGAGAAATGACCAAAAGTTTCTTCAATGCCCAGTTTGGGAGTTTGTTCCGCACAGACCAGAACCCCACCTATTTCCTAAGGCGACTGTCAAGATTTGCTGACATCTACATGGCGTCTCTGAGCTGCCTCTTGAACTACGATGTGAACCACACGTTCTACCCCCGGAGGACTCCTCTGCAGCATGAGCTCCCTGCGTGGTCAGACAGCCCCTCTGCCTGCAAAGCGCCCCTCCTGCAGGAGGCCCAGGCCAAGTAACCACGGGTGTCACCTGTGCAAGAAGCCAGAAGCAGCCACTCCCCAATGGGGTGACAGGGTTGACTTTGTGTGGGGCTGAGTGTGGCTTTCTGAAAGATCCAAACACCTTTTGATATTTCTTTTGTACCTTCTGGGGAATGCGCCCAGGTGCCATAGGCACTGGCAGCCATGGGTCTGGCCTTCCTCCACCTGCGATGCTGATGAACAGCTTCATGTTGGAATCTCGTCAGCCTTGTTGTTTACCAGGGTCCCCAAACAGGCACCAGATCTTCTAGGATAGGTGAGACCAAACGGCTCAGGTCTGTGTTCTGCAGGTTGGGTTCGGAAATTGTTCTCAGCTCTTGCATGGGACATTGGGGACTGAGGGGCACTGTGACATGCAGAGATTAAGCTGCTGCTCAATGGCCTGGTGCCGGCAGCAGGTGGCAGAGGTGATCCCCAGCCACAGCCAGCTCACAAGACTTTCAGTCCCTGGGTAGCAAGCGTCTGGCACATGACTCCAAGGGAACTCGGCTTCCCCGGAGGACTGATGTGAGAAAGGACAAGTGGGGACATTTGCTGTGCCCTACCCCAGGCTGGGCAGGGACAGCCAGTGAAAAAGTGGTGGGCAGGTTCCCTTTTCCCCAGGGAAGGAGGGCGAGGAGACACGGGCTCTGGTTAAAATGGCTTTCCACCTGGCAGAACTGTCATCGCAGAATAAAGCTGCAAGGACAGATGCAAAACCTCTGTGTGAGTCTGTGTGCGGAACAGAGCTGAGCGCGGCTATCACAGTGAGTGGCTGGGAAGGCCTGCGAGCAGGGCATGTGGAGGCAAGAAGCCTGCATCCTGTCAGTACGCGCGGAGTCTTTGGACAGAAACACTTCCTGACCAGCATGTTCACCATCTTCTCTCAGTGCCATAGGAGTGTCTGCTCTTCACTGTCACAGTGCCACTGATGGCACTTTGATTGCATATGCTCAGTGAATACTTTTGGTCAGATTAGCCTCTTCAGTATTGCCAGAGCTTTAAAACTTGGTTTAAGCTTTTGCTCTAATGTGGTGCTTTTTTTTTTTTTTTTTTTTTCCAGTTTGTTGAAGTCGGGTATCACTATGTTATCCCAAGCTGACCATGAACTCTTGATCCTGTTGCCTCATCTTCCTGAGTGCTGGGATTACAGGCATGAACCACTATGCCCAGTGTGGCATATATGCTTGAGGCTGAAGGATGGCAGGAACATGAGGAGTCTTGTGGGGAGCGCTTGCTTATTCAGCATTTTTATTGTAATCAGTGGATCCTAATCAGACTTTGGTGGGATATGAGCTTGGCTTTCCATAGGCTTCCAGCCCAAAGGCAGAGGTTGGGTGAGTTGTAGAGCACCATTTTTGGGGCCACTTGTAACAGGGTCTTGTGACATTCTGTGTGTTTCCCCATCACAATCAAGGTGATTCTTGATGAAGGGCTCACTTAGCTCCTCTTTCCTTCTCCATTGTGAGTGTGGTGTCATGAACACAGGAGGCTCTGATAATTTCTCCTTGTTTGGAGCAGGATAGGCATCTTGTTGTTTACGCCCAGGTGTTTTAGCCATCATAGTGCTTTGCAGGCTGGCATTTCATGCTGGCAGGTAGTACTCAGAGCTGCTCGGTGCTGGGGTCCCAAAATGGTGCACTGGGTGCTCTGAGAGGCTCAATTCCTGCTTTGAGGAAGTGGAGTGAGAGAGTAGGTGTTTAAAAAAACTCTTGGTTTGCATATCATCAGACATTCGTCATCTGCATCCAGTTTTAGGGTGTTTTGTTTACTCAAGAATGAAGTAGAACTGTTTTTAAAACCTGGGTTCTTGAACGTCTAGGTTAGGCGACCTAAGCCTTTTCTCTTGGGGGAGAAAACATTTTCTGGATAATAATAGTGAACTTTACAATTTATTCCCATGGAGAAGGGTTTCATTCTTGGGCCATTGAGCTTGGCAGTGCTGAGATCTGCCCTGTGTCAGAGACCTGGCAACTGTTGCACCAAGGCCCACTGAGCCATGTGCCTGGCGGACTGCAAGCCCAATCCCACACCATGACAGCCATGGCCTGGCGCAGCAGTTTACAGGAAGGACGGGGTGTTTTCCATTTCATTATGTGTCCTTGGGGAGCTCAGTCAAGACAGGATTTCACTTGTCACTGTCACATCTCTTAACTGGGATCTGGTGCACATTGGTACAAGGAAGCAGATCTGTTCTCTGTCATTTAAAAAATCAGTTTGTAAAGCAAACAATAAAATTAGGTTGAACATTTAAAAAATTACTGTTTTTAACATCGCTTAGACTGATTTTCCAAGAATTATGTGAATTAAAATTCACAGTGTAGAGGCAGGCCTGCCAGCTGTGACGGTCCAGCAAGTATCATGGCACAGTGCATAGCAGGTGCCTGGGAAGGGGTGCACACTGCTGACTCTCCAGGGTTGCTTCTATGCAGGCAACCTGACTTTTAAAATATTTCAGGTGTTTGGTTTACAGCGCCCACTTTCCTCCTGCCATGCACATGTGCGCGCACACTCTTCTCTGTCTGTCATTTTACTGTTCAGCTCCATTTTCTGCTCTCCCATTAATTCCACGTAGCATTTACCTACCCCCTGCTTCTGACTCGGGCAGAGCTCACAGTAAATTGCCAGTTGCTTTGCCTGAGCAGCATTCTTAATTACTGTGAAGGAGAAGTAGACAGAAGCCTTGCTTCCCACCTAATTTAGCTTTGGGTGAACTAAATGGCTTTTCCTCTCTCCCCCTCTCAATAGGACTTTCGAGCATCTCAGCAGGGGACAATGAGCCGCCCACTAGAATTGAATTCCACTTTGCCCAGTGCTCATTTGCTGCCAGAGGCCTACTTGGGGCTCTTGTCTGGTGTGCTGTAAAACTAAACGAGGCCAGATGCCAGAGTTCCTGGATCACTCTGTTCAGCTACCAGGGAGACTGTGTTTCTCCCTCTTAGTATCAATTTCCCTTTGTACTTTTTTTTTGCTTTAATATTTGGGAGCTGGGCTTAAAGTTCAGCCTACCTTTAACACCACCAGAGTGTTAAGCAAAGGGAAATGGGGGTGAAGTTCCTCTAGTAAGGTCAGAGAACTTTCCCTTAAAGGGCTGGCAGATACTGTTTTCAGCTTTGCAGACCACAAATTGTTGCCTCTGTGGGAATGGGCATGGCGATGATCCACTGTGACTTGATTTACAAGTCAGGCTGTGGTTTGGCGGCCCCATGCTGATGGATAGTGTTGACAGAATGCCCTTGCGGGGAGCGTGCAGACGGATAACCTGGTTGTTTGGGTGCAGATAGTAGAAAGACATTGTGTACCTAGGTGTGCCATATTTTCTTAAGAGCTGCTTTCTGGGGATATTTCCTTGCACAGCCAATGGTAAAATGCCATGTTTACAGCATGCATAAAGATTGCTTCAGTGTGTGTACTTGAGCCACCTCTCGCGGCATGTGTTTGTAACTGTGATAGTATTGTCTGCTGTGCCTAGCTCTCCAGATGTCCTCTCAGGACAGAAGGACCCACCCCAGCTGCTGGGAGCACTGCGGACTGGCCATTAGCAGCTGTCAGGCTTCTTGGGAATTTTCTGTGCTGCAGAGCTCTGCCTCTCCCCAGGTCACACCCCTTTCCTGGGGGCCTGTAACCCTTGACTGCTCCATGTGAAGGCACAAGGACCTGGTCTCCCACTCCCTATTTGCAACAGCTTTGTAGAGCCCTCCAGCTCCAGAGTGCCCTGCCAGGCCAGCAAGGCCTCCTTGGGCTCTCGCTGCAGTCCGGCACTTGCCCTGCCCCCTTCCCTTCCTATCTCTTCCCGTCCTTTCCCTTCCCAGGTGTCAGTCCCAGCACCCCTGGGAGTGCTCCTGCATGCTGTATCTCCTCGCAGGGCTGCCCTGACAGTGCTATTCCAGTCTTACATAGCATGGGCTTGAACTAGGAGAATGTCCCTAATTGTGTAGTGGAATGACAAATTGTGCCTGTGTGATACCATGCACAGTAAATGCAAATTAGGTAGACTTTGCTATTTATTCTGAATGTGAATTTGCTATTTATTCCAAATGTTGATTTTATGTGACATCGAACTTACAACCAAATAAAAGTTTGAATTGTATCACCCAGTTTGTTAAGTCATCTGTTTTGTATATTTAAGTAAGTGGTAGAGGGCATATTCATTTCTAGTGAGTTCACTATGTCATTTTCTAAACATATTTTTAACCTCTCCCCACTCCACTCCAGGACTTGAGGTTATTTCTACTAAAAGAAATAAAGAAAACTTGGATCTTAAAAGTAAAAATTCTAGGGCTCAGGTGTAGCTAAGTGGTGGAAAGCTTGCCTAGTATGTGCAAGGCCCTGGGTTTGAGCCCCAGCACTGAAAAATAAATAATGTAGTGAACCCAAAAAAGGATATCCTTGAGAAGAGGGGTAAATTTTAGGTTTTACTGTTTCTGGAGCTTGAAGGCTGTAGGTAAGCCCCAGACAAACTCGGTGAGCACAGCCTCCAGCAGATGGCAGGAGACCATGTGCTGTCCCATAGGGAGCACCCTGCTGGGGAACAGGAAGTGCTGGTTCTAAATTACCAGGACAGCTGAGATTTCCTTTTTAATCTCAGTAATTTTGATTTAGTTTTATTTTATGAGAAAAAACTAGGTGCTGTTACAAAGCATATTCCCTTTACACTTTGGATTTATATTTCTATATGAGGATTATCTTCAACAAAATCCACAAAATAGACTTCTATTTTAAAGGTCGCAGAAGGAAAACTTATTAATGCATACAGAGTTATATTTTTTAATGGAGGGCATTTTTCTGGGATTTATTTTTATTTTGGTTGTTTCTGGGGTTTTGAACTTTTTATTTATTTTTTTGGTGGAACTGGGGCTTGAACTTAAGGACTTAGACTTGCTATGTGGGTGCTCCATCACTTGAATCATGCCTCCATCCCTTTATGTTTTATTGGTAAAATAATGGGCTTCATTATGATATTTTCATGCATACATATAGTGTACTTTGATCGTATTCTCCCTACCACCCCTTCTTTTTTGGCAGTATTGAGGTTTGAACTCAAGGCCTTGCAATTACTAGTTAGACACTTACCATTTAATCCACACCTCCAGTCCCCAATGACTCTTTTTTGTC